CGTGGGATTGGCAGATGATATATTTACTCTTATCTTGGGGCCTTTCAGCTCTGTGGAGTCTGTGTCAGGCTTCTTACAMGCAGTTTTGGTGCTCAATTTGTTTCTTGCTATAGACGGGCATACCACAGCTGCATTGGGGTTCTGGAATTAAAATTTTGTGAAATGCCAATCAAAATGAAGGATAAACATTAGAACATCGTAAACAGTGTTATTTTCAAGGAGTTGAAATAACTCCACAATGGAATTAAAGTTACTCTACCTGGAGGAGCAACTTTAAACAATGTTTAAAGAGAGTTAAATCTATTCTACAATACAAAAGTCAAAATTATACTCCAAAAGGGAGTAATTTAAAATTGCTCGTCTTAGAAGAGAATTTATGATTGCAGTTAAATCTAGTTGGAGCTAAATCTTCTCCAGAAAAGGAGTTATCTGCTACCTTTCTTAACTCCTTTTTGGAGTTAATCGGCTCCTTGAAAATAACAGTAAACCGTTCACCAAAAACTCGTGCTTACCTGATAGTAATGCAATGCACAAGGGTTATATCGTACACTACAAACACAAGGTACACAAATGGGGACATTGCTTGACCTGTCTTTAGCTATTCCATTAGCACATGATATCATCGAACACTGCAAAAGAATTAGATGGAAATATTTGACTGAATTGGTCGCAAAAATATTGGCTACTACATAAACCCTGTGTTGCGTGCTACGTTTATGCGACAGAGTTGCATGGTTACGCCTATGATGATGTGACAATTCTTAATTCCGTCTTTTCCTCTTCTCATATCATATGTTTCCCTGTCTTCACTTTTCATTGTTTCCCAATGGAAAAAAACGCGCGCTATAAAGGTTGTAATTTGATATAAATATGATGTAAGTGTCCAAAATTCTGTAAATTTAATGGAAATCATTTACATCAAATTTACAGAATTTTGGACACTTYCATCATATTTACATCAAATTTACCACCTTTAAAGCGCGCAATTTTTTCCAGTGTCCTATCATAATTTAAGTTTATGACCAGGAAGCGATTTACTTACAGATCGACATTTAACGGCAGGGTCTGGGCAATGTCCACCYTCCAGGGCAATGAGATATACATTGGTGTTAGGAACAGGTACCATGATATAACCTCCGCACCTCGTGGTTCCTTCGACTTTACCACTAAAACACAAAATAACGCAAACGATCGACGTAGAACGAGAGAGAAATAACTGAATCATTTAATTATGCACTATTCGGAGTGGACGCACTCAATTCGTGAAACTAAAATTCCTCTAATTCCTACGTCCTTCCTTCCAATTCCTACCAAAT